CAGTGTGTGTTCTGTGTGTGTTTCTTCTGTTATGTCCACACTGCTGACCCTTGATTGTTCTCCCTTCCCCTTTGGCCCACCAGCACACCACACTTTCAGTATGACGTAATCATCAATTAGCTCTCATGGAGGATCTCAGCAAGGAGAGGCCTTTCGTTTGACTTTGGTACCGTTTGGTTTTGGTTATCGCTTCGATTCGCTTCTGGTTATTGCTTCGGCTTCATTGGTTTGTTTTGTTTTGCTTTGTGTGTGTGTATTTTCGTATAGTTTCAGCTTTGTTGTTTTGTCGGTTTTCTGTTAGTTTCTTTGTACTTTTGTTTGTTTGTGTGTTTATCCTTGTTTTGCCATTACCTTGCCCTAATGTGTTATATGTTCAACTTTTGTGTTCTTTTGTACCCTGTTCCTGTTGATCACTCTTGTTTTCCCTTATTTGTACTCCTGGTTCACTTGTGTTTTTGGTGTGAACTTTTGTATATAAGGTTAGTTTAGGTTGTTGGGTACACTTTACACACTTAATTGATTTTGTGTTAATAACACTAGTTTTGTATGGGTGAGTGCCATTTGTCTTGTATGGTTTTGGGTAGTCAGTGGAGGTTAGTTAGGGTGTTGAAGACGCTGAAGACCGTGTGTTTCGGGTTTTCTTTTGCAGTCAGGTTAGCTTTCCCTCACTGTCCTAGCCAACTCCATTTTGTTTGTTATTTCCTTTGGCACCACTCTAGTTCCTTACCCTTGTTATCACGCTTCCTAGTCCCTCACCAAAACCCAATTGCTTCCATAAGAATTATCCTAAATGTTACACCCCAATACCCCTAGACACTTGGTCTTAACAGTGTCATTGTTACAGAGGAATCTGTATATCAACAAAGCAGTAGTTCAGCAGTTATGTAAATTGACCTGTATATTAAAACCCCAAAAGATGGATTCAATGTTATTGTATAGTTTTTATTGTATAATTTGGACAAAGCACTGGTAAAGGTTTATTCAATGCTAAAAAGAGAAGAAAAGAAACACAACATTTCGGCTGTGGGCCTTCTTCGGGCAAAGCACAAATAACTGAGGGGATCCTGAGGGGATAGCACACCAGAACCAAGCAGAGAGTGAGCTCCTTTTGTGTTGAAAAATAAGCAATCAAAGGATGTAACATTCTGCACAGGTGTCTAGACCAGCGCTTACTGTAAGTGATGAATGGCTGCTAAGCCGCCATGCTGGCCAAAGTTGAGAGATCTTTCAACAAAACCAATCCAGTGGATATAACCTCATTTAACAGCAAATACTCATTCAGTAAGTGCCATGTTTCAGCCAGATGAACTCCACTTTCTGATTTGTAATGCACCCACTGCTAATCAAAGCTTTTGCTATTGTATTAAAGAGACAGAATCTATCAGAGATCTGCACCACAGAGCTTGTATTCTGAGACAGCAAATCCTGCATCTGGGAAGAACTTGCAGACAGCCTCGTCATATCCTGGACCTCGGATGGATATGGATGCTGATAGGACAAGATTGAACTAATTATGCAGTTAGAGCTCTTATTCTTATTCTTAAATAAACTGCAAAAGAGCCACTGACCTCAAACTGATATGCATGCAAAACTACATCAGTAACCATTACAATTCTCTCAAAAGAATGTGAAAAGAATGGAATTAAAAACAGTTTATATTATTATTGTTTAACATTTAACATTTTATTTCATACTTTTAGTTGAAAAGTCATATCACTCACTGTTGGTCACATTGAAGGAATATTTAAACAGTTTGTATTGCATATGGTAATTGTTGTTCATGGTGTGGTTAGTTTATAAATACACACACACAAAAGCACACTTAAAGGAGGATGGTTCATCTCAGCTGTAATTATGAGTCCTTCATATATCTGTTTTCAATGACTTGAGGAGTTTTGTGGTAGTGCTTTGATGTAGTAAGTGCTCCATAAATTAATAAACCTGAGGCTATTTGTTTTCTTTCTCTGTGGAGCAAGACAGTGACAGCCAGTGTGATTATTCAGCATCAGAGTACCAGTGAACTGCTCCTGAAGAGTGTTTACCAGGCCTTTCAGAGCTTAATCAGTCAGAATCACAGAGCTGCAATTCCCCAAAACACCAAGTGTAGGATTAAAATAATTGAAGTGTTGCAACAATATAATATATTAATGTACTGACATTGTACTCTGAAACCTGCAGAAAACAATATTAAAATGATTTGTCCACTTTTTATTATTTTTATTTTTCCAAATTACATTACAATTACGTTCCAGTGTGTGTTCTGTGTGTGTTTTTTTCTATGTTCCACACTGCTGACCCTTGATTGTTCTCCCTTCCCCATTGGCCCACCATCACTCCACTGTTTCAGTATGACGTCATCATTAATTAGCCTCAGCCAATCAGAACACATCTTATTCACTATATAACATGGAGGCTTTCAGCAAAGAGAGGCCTTTTTTTTTACTTCGGTCCTGGTTGGTTTTGGTTATCGCTTCGCTTCGCTTCGGGTTATTGCTTCGGCTTCGTTTGTTGGTTTGTTTTGCTTTGTGTGTGTGTATTTTCTTATAGCTTCGGCTTTGTTGTTTTGTTGGATTTACGTTAGTTTCTTTGTACTTTCGTTTGTTTGTGTGTTCATCCTTGTTTTGTCATTACCTTGCCCCAGTGTTACATGTTCAACTTTTGTGTTCTTTTGTACCCTGCTCCTATTTATTACTCTTGTTTTCCCTTATTTGTCTTCCTGGTTCACTTGTGTTTTTGTGTGAACTTTTGTATATAAGGTTAGTTTAGGTTGTTGGGTACACTTACACACTTAGTTGATTTTGTATTAGTACACTAGTTTAGTACGGCTGAGTGCCGTTTGTCTCGTATGGTTTTGGGTAGTCATTGCAGGTTAGCTAGGGTGTTGAAGACGCCGAAGACCATGTGTTTCGGGTTTTCTCTTGTAGTCAGATTAGCTTTCCCTCACTGTCCTAGCCAGCTCCATTATGTTTGTAATTTTCTTTTCTTTGGCACCACTCTAGTTCCTTACTCTTGTTATCATACTTCCTAGTCCCTCACCAAACCCCCCCTGCTTCCAAAAGAACTATCCTAAATGTTACACCCCTTTTCCCCTAGACACTTGGGGTCGTAACAATAGAATTGAGATTTTTTTGCAAATGCTGTTTAATAATTTCGCCCTGAAGTCATTGTATACAGTCTGATATCCATAACAACCTACTAATTCAAATGATCAAAACGTCTTTTTGCTGTTTGTCGGATAAAGTAGTTTAAAAATCTGTAAACTGTGCAGTTACATGCACAGTCTTAAATCAAGTGTAATGAAGTGCTTATATGCAATGGATATATTCTGATGTACTGATGATGAACCACAGTGATGATTAGAAAACAAATTATAAGATTTTGGTAGTGCACTTTGCTGTGTATTTTATTATTATGAGTCACAGGTGTCTTTCAGTGGTAGATATTGCACCTGCTATCCACCAAAATACCAAACACAGGTTCCCTTTAATGGAATTATAACAAAGTGATAACAAAAATCTGGGAGGTAGGTTAGAATCCTAAATTAAATCTAGGCGAGGCTGACAAACCGGCCTTAGCCAGGAGAGCTACTGTACATCAGATGAACTCTAAGAATCTTATTGAACTGTTGCATGTACAGTATACTTTCTTCCTATACTGTTGCATTCACATCGCATGCCACATGTTGCATCCAAAAAAATACAGTATACTGTATTAGATCATTCAAAGAATATTGTAATCAGTATGTTGATGGTTATAGTTAAATATCTTCTATTAAAGTGATGCTTGGAAATTTGTTAGAATAGGAAAGGGAATTTCTGGCACTGTATGTCAAGATTAATGTTTTAACTAAGGAGCAAAGACTTTCTGGACACCTGGAGTTGTGACTGTGATATATCACTTCTCATGGCCAATGAGTCTGCTTGTTTGTACTGTAGTTATTGTGCAATGGATTTTGAGTTCTATCATATGTGAAGAGCAGAAAGGTTATCACTGAGTTATTATGCGATTGTCCTCCCACTGACCTCACTAAGGGAGCTGGCTTTGCAGCGATTATCACACTTTTTCATGGTTTGCTGTTCACTACACATGTTGCTGCTGAGCAACACCTGACTGCCTTCTGACAATTTCTTGCTAACCCCTCACTGACCTCCCCAGTAAAGTTTCACAAGCCCTTGTGACAAGTACAATTTTTAAGTTATTTTCAGAGAGGGCTCATCTCTGGCAGGTTCTCAAGATAGAAAATATTATCCCTCTGTGATATTAATAATGTACACACTTATCCCCATATTAGAAGAAAATGAAAAAATGCTTTAAAAAAACTGACCCTGTTCTTTTGTGACTTATCTTTCTAAAAATATTAAAATCATAATGAAATCACAAATTGTGCATATTCACCCTTGTGAAGTGTTTACTAAAACACTTTGCAACACAGTCTCTACAACACAATAACCAAATTCATATTGTAATTTGCTGAACATTTTTCCACTTCACCATCTGGAAGACAAAATATTGATGTCTGAAACACACAGGTCCTCTACTGTCAAAAGTATATTCTATGTTGGATAAAATTATATATACCTATATATATAAATTGAAAATATATACAGTATATATATTAGTAGATGATCTCTGTGTTTTGTGAAAACAGAAATTGATACAATTTACCATTCTAGTTCAATATGTTAATCAATCACTAGACAACAGAATTCAGCATTTTAGATAGGTATAGTCCTATACATAATTACCAAGAACACCCATTTTTTTAAACAAAAGTGACTTAATAACCAAAAACATACACAAAATAGAATACTTTCAATCCCAGGAATGTTTCTTACCACCAGGTAAGTCAATTACCCAGGTTAACAAGGTGGCACAATTGAGGGGCAGTTAAAGATTTACAGTATTTATGCCATGTTTATTTCATGTTCTTATTCCTATAAAATGTAAAGTGTGGGCCAGGCTCAGATCTAAGGAAGGTATTGTGTGTTTTCTTTTGGCAGGTCAGTGGGGCAGATGCATGGGCGAAGACTGCGGGCCTGGAGGAGTGCAGACAAGAACTGTGTGGTGTGTGCACTCAGAGGGCTGGACAACGCACCACTCCAACTGCAGACACACGGAGAAGCCGGAAAGCCAGAGGGAATGTTTCAAAGTCTGTGAATGGCACCAAGAACTCTTTGAGTGGGAAGTGACCGAGTGGGGCCCATGTGTCTTGGTTCCTTATTTTTCTAATGAACTGAAAGTAAGGACCTCAGAGTGTGTCACTGCACAGCACGGAATACAGCAAAGGAAGGCTCACTGCATTCGGAAGTCCAACAGGACAGTGGTAACTGAGAGGATCTGTGAGTTTTTTTCACAGAGGCCAGCTGTTGAGCAGGCTTGCCTCATTCCCTGTCCACACGACTGTGTGGTGTCGGAGTTTTCTCCCTGGTCTGACTGCAGCAAGACGTGTGGAACGGGGTTACAGCACCGCACGCGGGCTGTGCTGGCTACGCCTGTGTACGGGGGTGCAAACTGTCCTAACTTGACGGAGACGAGGACCTGCAGCAATCAGCTCTCTTGCTCTGTTGGAGAGGATGAGTTCCGATACAGCCTTAAGGTTGGGCCATGGAGTGAATGCAGACTCCCTCGTCAGAAGGAGGCCAGGCTGAGTGGAAGGACCATGCTGGATTTCAGCACTGAATCTGCAGAGAAGAGCTCTGTGAAGCTGCAAGTGCAGAGCACTCGCCATCATCATCATCACCACTCAAAGTCCTGGGACATAGAGATAGGATACCAGACCAGACAGGTCAGGTGCACAAGAAGTGATGGCAAGAACGCAATGCTAAGGTATGATGTCTTCTAACATACGCACACAATAAAACAATACTTTCATCTGCATTGAGGAAATGAAGAGTATTCATTTCTAAATACAGTGTGTGTAGTTCTTGCTTACCGGCAGGATAGAAAGATTTGTTCTTGAATAAAAGGTTTTGGAACAGGTTACTGATTTTCAGAAAACAATTTCTCTTGAAGCCATGGCAATCACCCAACCTAAGTGTAAGAAGTTGACCCTCCACACAAACCCAGCGTTTTAAAAGTTAGTCATAATGTTATAAATACAGTAGTCATTATGTTATAAATACATAAAAACGTAGCTTTTAAAACATACATTATTTCTAGATTGACAGGGTATTTGTATGTGAGAACAATCTTTTCTTGAGAATGAATAATTTCTAACGTCAGTTTCATTAAAGTCAATTTAGGTTGATGACTATGTTTAGGAATTTAGTTAATATGTTCTCAATTATAGAAGCATTTGTTTTTGGCTCTTTGGCTCTTTTTGCCTAAATACAGCACAACTTCTTTTTTAAAAGATCTTCTTTTAAGTAATTATACTAAATAGATAGTAAGTGTCAGATATGAGAGTGTAAAATGAGAATGCTGTTTTTTGATCATATTACATTGTAATTGCAAAGCAGGAGGCTCTGAAATGAGGCTGCTGGTATGGTTAGCATGGCACATCCTGTAATTTGGTGTTATTATGAATCTTTATTTTAAAAAAACAATCATGAGGTTTAGATGGGATGCATTACAACACTGCATCTTGATCTGCTCTAGTTGATCTGAGCACCATTTATGTTATCAGCATGGTTACTGCAGGAAGAAAATTGTCATGCTTTTAATGCAGTAGGGGTTCAGCAGAGCTGAATAGTTTAATATCAGTCTACAGAGACATCCATGTTTATGAAAGGATACTGCTGGAATTTGCATATAATTGATTCAAGGCAATTTTGAGATTACCTGAGTTCAACGTGAGGATCTGCATTGTGAAGTGAATTCACTATATGGAACGTCTGAAATATTATTTTCAGTATTCACAAGAAAATCCTCAGTTAAACCTGCTGTCAGAACTCTAAAGGGAGTTCCTGTTCACTACAGTACTCTTTATATCTCTTGAAGTCAACGTGCAACACCAATGGGAGCTACATGCCACATGCCGATTTAAGCTACAGAATGAGCATTGTTCTATACATGATGATATGCATATTGTAAATGGTAATGTTCATTTTCACCTCATAAACAGTATCATGGTATGTCAGGGAAAGTATCGCATTTTAGCCCATGCCAATACATCTGATTAGAGATGCAGATAGAGGAAAAACAGCTTCATCACACCTGGCTGTGTAGGACATTTCCCACGCTCACTCCTCCCGGCATCCTTTGAATGGCTGTGCAGCAATCCACATCCCAGCCTTTCAACTGGTGTAAATGTCCTCTTTAATTCTGTGTTCAAACAATTCTTTATGTATCTTTATTTTCAACATTGCTTTCATAGTTTTTTGTTTTGTTGTAAAATTATTTATTGCTCTCCAGGATAAAAAGTTATTTTTAATTTTATTTTGGGACTAATATCACCTCATACTCTGTTCCACTTTCACTCTGTTATGATTGGCTCTGTAGTCCGTATCGGATGCTATGTTAGACCCTATGCGAAGAGGTAAGAGCTGAAGGAGACATGAGGCGGAGTATGGGAAGACACATAGGGGTTTAATGGTGCAGTAAAGTAATAGTAATAGTCTGTGAGACGGTGAAGGGAGGGACAAAGAAGCATCTGAATCTGAGCAGGTCCAAAGGCAGGTCAGGGCACAGTCCATGAGTCATCAACAATAGATCCATCCTCTGACGTGACAAGGATAAAATCCCCGGGAACGTTGGAAAACACAAACACATGAAAAACATGGAGGTCCTGGGATGAACAGGCGAGTTCCTCCAGACCCTGGGCTCAGGAAACGGGAGGTGTCAGGGATGTGGCCTATGCCCTCAGGAGATGGACGTAGGGTATACAGGTGTTAGGCGGGCCTTGCGACATCCTTTCCCTAATGTTGAGCCCCATCCCTGGAGGAGCTAAGAATAAATAGGGGGAGACACAACAAAGCACACCTGGAATACGTAATGATCACACAGAACTATTGACAGGAGTAAATGGAGCGCCCTCTAGGGGTGGAATGTTGACCATGACAAACCCTTTATTGGATTCTGTGGTTATCTTTTAAATTTAGAAACGTATTTAATTTTCTTACTGGTCGGACAGAATTTTCTTACAAACGACTATTACTCTGAAGGCAAAAGCCAATCTCTGGTGCTTCTTGCTCATGCACATCCTGAATTAAAGTATTTTTTTATTCTTTTAGCATAATAAAAAAACATAAATGTATTTCAGGAATCACTATAAATGACTGTCCTCCACACAATGTACAACAAATTAAATATCCCTCCTATGTATATTATGTAGATATTAAAAAATAACATGTGGCATTTTTCATTTGTATGGGATACTATCCAAGATTCATCTTAAATGAATCTTGGCTGTAATGTGGCTCTCATTCATTCAGGAATGAAAGCCTGAGGTGTGCAGAAACCCACATAACCTCTATCTGCACAGTGCTGTTGATTCCATGAAAATAGCTTCTGGCTACATACAGTATTAGCAACTAAACGTCTATGAAGTCAGTTGAAGTCCCTTTGGATTTGTGAACTCGTGTGTTCCATCTCAAGCAATTACACTGTTGACTAAAAATTTCTAATTTCAGTCTTTTGTTAAGAACAGAGATACGTTTATAGATTGTATTTAAACATCAACAGGGGCCAATGAATTAGTCATGTTTTTTTCATGTTCTAGTCATTTTAGAAAAATGCTTTTTGCTAGTTGCTAGACAACGGTATTACTGTCGATTCTTGTGTTAAATACAAAGCCGCTTTTGCAAAAGAACTTTCTGTTATTGCACCTTTCAGGAAAAGAGAGAGAGAGGTGAGCAGCACTGGGCCTTTGCAGGTGTGTCACGGCTGTAATTCCCAGTGAAAAAAGATAATTTACAATATCTAATTAGCATTCTCATTTAAAATGGCAAATGGCAAGTTAATATTATGTATTGGTGTTGAATATATATTTCCCACCTGAGCTGCATTTTATGCAGTTTCTTTAATTACAGTCTAATTACCAAGTAAAATCACACAGGAGTGAACATCACAGTCATTATACTATACATAATTAATTAAACAGTAGGAATTAAACAGATAAAATTATAATTATGTACCTTGTGATGTAGTACATTTATTTGTATTTTTGTGATATATGGAGTTATTGGAAAGATACTTCAGCAGCCAGATAATAAACCACCTCCTCATAACAAATTATACTGCAAAATGAAAGTGTTTTCTCACATATACAAAAAAAACCAGATAGGTCTGCATAGGTCCTAAGAGTAAATGACGCACAGTAGGCAGGTAAAGCAGTATGTGGCAGTTTGGAAGAATATTTGTCAAAGCCCTTGTGACTCAGTCTTCGGGTTTCAGAAACAGCAGAAAGTTTCAATTCAATCTCTATAAGTTCTTGTGAGTTCAACAATACTATTTTCAATACCAATTAATTCAAAAGCAATTATTTTACATTACAGACAGAATAGCATCACGGTTAAATAGGTTGAGGTTCAATCCATGCTGAAAGATAAAAAAACAACGTTTCAGCATGTAGCCTTCTCCTATGGAAGAGCATCGCTGCCACCGAGGGAAAAAAACATTCACCCCCTTATCTCATAATTACGAGGTGGCAATGATTGTTTCAGTGCATGTACTACCTGTTACGTTGTGCACTGAACGTGTCAATGTCTGGCGCTGCAGAATTTGTACGGATTTACTTTTGACTGGAGTTCAGTCCTAATGAAATCTTGCATTTAGCAAATATGAACAGAATCATTCTAAGCATGAGGACCAGTTTTGTCCGATTTAGAGATCAAAGCAATGATGGTTCCGTTATGAACATTTATATGTGCCACCCGTTCCACTGCTCAAAACTGTACAGTAAGTCTGCACGTAGCGATATACAGTAGGTATTGTCTGACAATTGTACTATCGTGTGATCACATAAAATACGTGAGACTTGTATTCCTTATCGATATTCCTTATCTCATAATTATGAGAATTTTCTTGGAATTATGCAATAACTTTGTCGTAATTACTAGATAACCCTGTTGTAATTATGAGATAAGGGCAAGGATGGCTTTTCTTTGTTGGCAGCGATGCGCTTCCATAGCCTTCAGATCTGAGGGGAAAGGAGTAAATGCCGTAAATGACGGGGCATTGGAGAATTTAGTGGGTAAGAAGGGGCAGGGAGCAGTGAGGAAATGGGCACAAAGCAGTAGAGAATGAGTGTCCAAACTCAGGGAGAAGAGGAGGAGAAGTGTGAAAACCAAGAATCTGCAATGAATAGAGAGGATTTTGAAGGAGAAGAAAGAGATGTCATTGAGAGAGCTGGGAAGGTGTGATCTAAGTTTAAGGATAATTTGGGTTTCAGGTGTCTTTCTGCAATATTGCTTCCAAAATCCCTGCGTGAGGATGCAGACGGAGAGATCATAACAATCGTGGCCCTTAGAGGTGAAATGGGGAACTATTGATTTGAGAGATCTTTGATCCCCTCAGCTCTGACATACTCCCTGAAATGGTCTGCCAGTTTTCTTCCTGTCTCACCAATGGAAATGGTACTGTATCTGCCAAAGCATGCATAAGCACAGAAGTGTCTGATCGCCTGGCCAAGTGTGTGATGCCGGGCTTGATGTTGATATTGATGTAGAAGGCTTTCTTTCACAGGCACAAAGGAGTTCTCATTCAAACACAGACTTTCAGTTTGGAACGCTGATTATTTTAATATACAGTAGCAAGGTCCTGTTTCTGTTAGTAAGCAGGTAATTATTTTACAAAATCTTGTTTACAAAATTATTGTAGAAGAATTGTCTAACTGTGTAATACCCTTTTAAGGTTCACCATAGATTTGCCATTTGTAATGCAGTTTTTGTAATGCTTCTGTATAAGGTACTACAGCAAATTATGAAGAGTGACCCCAAGGCCACCTGTATGAGCTCAGTATTTTTATCAGAGAGTTTGACGTACTATAAACATATGTTTTTTGCTGTTGATTAAAATTCATATATCATTGAAATTGTTCTTCAGGTGCTTCCTTGTTTTCCTTATAATTACCTACTCAAGTACTCAAGTCTAGTTCACTTTGCAACAGTTAAACTATTTTGCTGCTAGACCTTTTGTCCTGCATGTTACAGTTCAGTGACTTCTCACTGTTGGAAAGATACTGTCACTTTCTCACATTAGCATTATGCATTGTGACAACCAGATTTCAGACTGGAAGTGAGAATTCACTAATAGAAGAAGAAGTCATTAATAATACATGAAAATATAAAGAAGAAATTAAAAAGATATACAATGAAGGTTAATTGTTTAAAAACCAGGCTGACTTCCCATTTTAGTGTAGAAAAGGCTGTTTACACATAAAAGTGACCAGTTAAACAGTTAAACAGTTACATTGCATGTTTACTGATGAGCAGCTTAATTAATAAACAGATTTGATCTCTTGTTGCCAAGAGACCAGTGAGATATTTAGTTTCATTGCTCAGGCTGTCAGTCTGTACAGTGGTTCACAGCCATCTGAAGAATTGCTTTGTTATTGGACCTGTTGGCAGGATTGGGGTTGCAGAATAAATGACCTGCTGGGTGTGAAGAACCCCTCTATGTATCTTGTGAGGAAGGGCTCCAGATGGGGCAGAGTTTCCTCTGTGACTCAGCAGAGCTGAAGAGAGGACTTCTTGCAGGGGCACCATAGCTTCAGCTTTCCAGTCTGCTGAATTCAAGGGAGGCGACATGGACCGCACTTTTGTGCATTGCACATTAGACTGCATGAGAGCACGTTCCCACTCTAGGGGCTCTGAGTGCTCATTTCCAACAGGGGCGTTATTGGTGCTAGCTAGCAGCTCCTACCATCTGATTTTGATCATCCCTGAACACGGCAGCCCTGAGAGATATGGTACAACCAAAAGCAAACACCAACAGAATAGTGGAGGTTGATTAAAATTACAGGCTATAAAGCATGTGTTTACACAATAAGGGCAAACTGTTCTGTATATTGGTATATACTGTACTTTGAAGATATCACTGACTTCCCATGACCACTCTTGTTCCAGTCTTTGCATTCAGGACAGTTCCCCCGTGACCTTTCAGTCGTGCGTTATGCCCAGACCCTGCGAGACCTCGGACTGGTCTTCGTGGAGCCCCTGTTCCAAGATGTGTCGATCGGTGGACTTGTCTCCTGGCTACAGGACAAGGACTCGCAGCCTGAAGCGCATCCCCGTTGGTGGAGGAAGGGAGTGCCCAGTTCTTGAAGAAAGGGAGGCCTGTAACATCATTGCAGACTTCCTGCCGAAGTGCCCCAGGTATGCCCCCCGAGAGACGGACTGCCTGGACTGACTCCAATTAAATATCTACTAGAGGGAGGAAGAAATCAGGTGGTAGCTAAGCCTCACTGAACCCTATCAATGGATCTGTAATTAAAAGAGATGTGGGAACAATGGCGCTTAGGCACTTCTGCAGATGAGCACATTAAAAGGAAATTAATTTAACTTAGAAATAAACTTCTAATGTGAAAATACAAGGTTAAAATAATTAACATCCACGAAAGTGATTGAATGAACTAATGAATGAGATTAAGTAATTGGTAGATTACAACAGACCATCGTCTTCATTAAAAAATCTCTATTTACAACATTTTTAAAATATGAGGAATTTACAATATATCTAAATGTAAAATTAATGGACCCCCTGATGTCACTTGAATATTTTATGCCATTTTTTCAGTTTATATATGTCCCAGGCACTGTGTTGTTTAGTACTGTATTCACTAGAAAAATGGGATTAAACATATTCATTTTCCTAGGTATATGTGGAAGGTCACTGAGTGGGGTGAATGTCAGGTGACCCCCCTTCTCAGCCAGCAGGACCAGCGCCTCAGCAATCTGACTGCACTCTGTGGGGGAGGGATTCAGATGAGAGAAACCTACTGTGTACAGATCCCAGATGACACAGCTTCACATAAAGTGAAAGAAGGTAGAAACTGTTCCACTAATTTGTCAGAATCCTGTGCAGAACCACATTCTCTCACTGGCTGCTCCCCACTGCAGCATGGAACTGTCAGCACTGCCTGTTCCTTGAAGGGGACTGATCCTTTCTGTGAGTTATCTAGGGAGATCAGAAGCGGTGTAACAAATGTCACCATACACAAGAAAAGAAGTAACAGCCTCTGTTTTTCAATTTCTTCTGATTTTTTTCTGTTTCTGCAATTCCATTTACATAAATGAAACCATTATACATTTTTTATCACTGCACAGATGAGCTGTGTGCAAGATGGGAACATTTATTTTCCTAATACTACTGACAGTAGTTAATGATATTACTGCAGCACGGAGGGATTATCTAGGCTAGTGCTCAGTCCCACTGAATCTCATCATATTCCTAAAATTCTGGAAGCCACTGATTAGTAATAGACCATATGAATGTTCATACTGTATCAAGCTTCAAGAAGCTTTCTTCAGCTTCAGTACATGATGCATCTTAAAAGAATGACTGCTGAAGGCAGTGAATGACAAACATTGTTACAGTGATAGAGGAAAGTATATTTTATTCTGCAGGTGAATCTGAATCTCTCTTATGACTGCGAGCAGAAAGCTCTTCACCATGTGTCTGGTGGTTAAAATGGTGAAATCGAGCACACTGAATAAAGTCTGGGCATGGATGTTTTATTTTTGTTGCCAGCTGCACAAGATTTCAAGTTACAGGATGTGCCATAATCTGAACTATTAGCTGTGTAACTGTATGGAAGACCATTCTTATTTACAGTAATAGAAAGATCAAAAAAGATGTTCCTGTGCAATGAACTGAGAGTACATTGGCATACACTCGACTGACTTTCAAGTGTATTTCGGCTCAGTCAATGAGCTGGAAGTCTTGAGGTTTGTAAGCCACTTCATGTGATTTTAATAGTGCATATGGTACTGCACATAAAGGATAGTAGATATCCTATTTACTTTTGTTAGTACTGTACTAAAATTTTTTGATGTGCAAGTGATAAATGTGAGTTTGTTTCGAGTAGGTGAAAGCACTTCATAAGAGCCTTATCTTCTTTTAACTTAACAAAGCCCAATATGTTCCCACGGCCTCAACACATCACTAATCATATGTATATTCAGTCCAATTACATAATACAGTTTCATGCATAATTTACAACTTATAAACCACTTTATATTCCCCAGGAAATTATGTGATCTGTCTTAACAGTGGTATCTGTCTGCGGTAAATACATTCCTAAGTGCAATATCTGAAATTCAATTGTTCGTGAGAGGTGTTGTTTGTGATGGCTTGCTTTTGATCTCTCATTTCTTAAAAAAATAAAAAAGGAGATACCTGGTCTTGCATGGTGAAGCACATTTCAATCAATGGCGGTCCAGGAGCCAATCAATAAGAGTCACCGCAGATGTTTACTTTAGACATGACCTACTCTTCTGCAGCTAATGCAAATTGATTGCAGATGGTTGTTTTGGAATGGAGATCTCCAATAAGGAAATTTAGGGAGTAAGTAATTCAAGTGAAAAAATTCACTTTGTTCAATTAAAGAGATTAACAAAAGTGGTCTCTAAAAAGGTTTTTCCAGAACAATGTGAGGTTCTAGTACTGCACATATCACTAGGCCTTAAGAAAAACAAAGGCAGGAATATGAGTATTTGAGGCTGTCCTAAATAGTGAAAGGGTTCTACTGCATATGTTAAAATATTAATTTCTCAAGTGTTCACAGGAACATCAAGTTGCATTTCCAACATAAAAACATGGATGACTCTAAATTTCCTCCATCTAAACTGTGTCAAGACTGTAGTCATGCTTATTGGCACCCCTATCAACTTTGTAAAGCCAATGCTACTGTATAACCCTATCTGTGGATGGTACTGTAGTTGAGCTTCAGTTTAAATTGAAAAACTTCAGGTTGATATTTGATTCAGGCTTGACATTCAACCCACATGTGCAACATATTATCAAAACATCATTCTTTCACCTCAGAAATATAGTCAGACTATGTTATTGCTAACTGTTGCTGAAATGTTGATCAACACAATTGTGTTCTCCCAAATTGAGTACTGTGCAATGCTCTGCTCACTGTGTTTTCTAAATCCACATTGAAGAAACTCCAGTATGTCCAAAATCTGGCAGCCACAATCCTGACCCAGTCTAGTGCAAGTGATCACATTACTCCTATATTGGAGTCCTTGCACTGGCTTCCTGTTAAGTTTCGTGTTGACTTCAAAATCCTCCTGCTCAGCTATAAGGCTTTGAATGGCTTGGCTCCTCAGTGACTGTCTGAACTACTGTCATCCTGCTCCCAACTTCACAACCTTCACTCTTCTAATTCTGGTCTCCTATCTGTCACCCAAACCCTTATACACCCTATAAGTGACAGGTTCTTCTCCTGTGATGCCCAGAAATATCTGGATATCTCTCCCCAAGGATATCAGAGAGTCACCTTTTCTCAACTCCTTTAAATCCAGACTCAAAACCTTCTTCTTTAGAAGAATCTTTACTTAACTGGCTCTGTTCTTTACCTCTCTGCTCATACTGTATTCAGTACCCCCGTATACTGCCTCATCTCATTGTTTATTCTCACTGTGCATTGTGTATTTTTATTGTTGTTGTCATTCTGTAAAGCACCACCATTAAAGGTGCTATATAAATAGTTTATTATTATTAATTCATGCTACAGTAAATAAGTTGAAGATGAAGTCTGCTGTATTTAAAGTTGAACTCTGTGGAGCTGCACAGAAATATCCAGAGGATAACAAGAACAAATCCTCAATTAAATTTATTTTTGTGTAGGTTCACTTCATTTTCAGTTCTAAATAGAAATTGCAGTTATTTATTCCTGCTTGCATCCATTGCTGTTTCTCAGTATCTAGGCCTGTGAATGGGAACCTGTGTCCAGGGCCTGTGCCTCCCGCTGTCCAGCAGTGCTCTGTTCCCTGTGCAGAGGAGTGTCTGGTCTCTGCCTGGAGTCCCTGGGGCCTGTGCATGTATGAGAACTGCTTGGAACCAATTGGGAGAAGAGGTATTACAACTACACACCATCTTTCCTGCCCACACCCGGCTGGTGATACAGCCACTAGTGAATATATGGTGAATTTCCTAAAAAAAAACAGTTGACTCATAATTGCTAAATATCTATCTGTTTGTCTGTCTAATTCAGTTTTTCTAAAGTGGTGTGCCATAGCACAGTGGTGGTACAGAAATTTCGGTAAAGTCACTTATGAGAATTAAGTTCCTTTATGCTGTATATATACTGTATATAGTTTATATATGTACTGTACTTTAGTTTTGTGGAGTATCCAAAGTGTGTTGCATGCTTGGTGTATTCACGAGACAGAAACTACATTCTAAGATTGTTCATGTAGGAACTGAATGTGTTCTCAACTGACAGACATGGAAAACAAAAACAGAGAATGACAGAGCAGCTGAGCAAGAGCTCTGTGTCACTGTCATCGATTCCTGCCAGGATAAGGCGACTATGCACTGAGAAAAACTCAGATTAAGCTTTGAAGAGTTCCTCTTCCTCTGTGAATCTGCACTACTCTGATTTGGTTGAGATTACAAGGTGTAAGAGTAGGTTTTAGGAATCGTGATGTCCCTTTTGCAGTTTCATTTTTGAAGAATGTAAAATAGTCTTTTATTTCCTAACATATTCTTTGCCTTGATCACTTTGTTTTTAATGGTTGTTACTGTATGTTGCATTGTTGCGATTTACTCTGCAGCAAAACACATTTCCCCTAAGAGATAATACAGTTTGAATTGAGCTTAATTTTAAATTGAATTACATGAATGTAAGAATAACCAAATAACCTGTAGAAAAAAAGGAAAAGGGTATGTGAACTGAGCCAAAAATAAAAGTTTGGAGATGGTTGTGGCACTCTTCAATTACTCATTTCCTGGGATCTGCTGCAGAGGACATTTTTCTCACTGAACTTTCACTTTTTTTTAAATAACATTAGAATGGTTACAAACAAGAGGGAGGAATTCAGCTGGATAGTAGAATTTCATTCAGTCATTCCTTGAAAGCCATTAGGGTATTGGTTTCAGGAATGGGGTTGGATAGCATGTTCCCCGACCCTCCCATTGCTGTGAAGGATCCCTACCTTTGGGATAGCCTGACAGGGGGTCTCGTCTATAAAACCCGATGCCAAAAATAAAAATTCATTTTTGGACCTCTCTTGGAGTCCAGTTGGCCGAGTGCAATCAGTAGCTATCTTCTAATTTATCGGTGTTCTGACCCAGGAAACGACCTGGGTTTTCCCGAGAGAAAGAGATTGTCTCCGAACACTTCAGCTTTTCATGGCATTCTCGTTCTCATTGTTCCTAATAACCATGAGTGTCGTGTGAGAGACAACGTCTGACTGTCGCAGGCATTAGTTTTAAATAGGTGGTGATTCCAAGTTATTTTGTTATAGGAGTGTGAAGAATGTGTTTCCCTGAATGGGGTGACCCCCGGTGACTGAACCCCATCTCTGGTTACAGTCTGCTACAGTGCAATCCCTGTACATCACACTTTCACACCAAATTACACAGCTAGTAGTAAAACATAATTTCTATCTTGGAGTTTTCTCATGCTAAATTGAGAAATTCCAATAAACTGTATAAATAGAACTTTTATCACGTGATGGTAGGCATGGTGACACAGTGGTTACCATTGGTTTCCAGGAGAGGTATTGTTGCTTGATCAAACATTTTAATCATGAAACTATTTTTGAATCAATGTTTTTCACTCTTAATACTATAACCATTTAAAGCATATTTTCATACACCCTGGCTAAGAATGATAACTCTTTCAGATTGGAAGGGACAAATATGTATTTTATTTTGCTTCTAGCAATGTGAAAAGTACCACAGGAATAATTATTTAAAAAGACTAAGTTGGTGCTGTTGCATTATCAAATATACTTTTATGAGATAAAAAGAAGAACGTGCTGGACATTTTAGTATTCAAGGATAAAACAGAAAAATATTTTGGCATTAATCAAAGAATTCAGATTAAGTAAATTAACAGCTGGAAAATAGATTCTTTCAAAATACATTTAACTTGTTTTCTTTTTCTGCTTCAGAAACCAATTGATGCTCAGATCTGAAATAAAATAGCTATGATTAATTAGTTCTAATGTAGTATACAAATGATGTAATTTCCAAGCAATCTAATTAGTATAGTGCAGTCTAAAAATGTATTGGGAACTAAAATTACATAATTTGTTTCATTTAACAAGTAATTAGTAGTTGTGTTTATAAAACAATGAAATTATCAATTTATATACATAACTGAAATGTTATGTACTGTATATAAAGACCAAATGATAAAGTGTTACAAGGAGTATTGCGTAAAGATCTTACTAAATTTAATCATGGGTTTACGTTTGTGGTCCTGCATTTCCTAGACACAAGCAATACCAGGACAAAATATTGCAGATACCTATATCAGCCTACAGTATGTCTGTATAGAATGTAACTATTTTCTTTTTTAATGTGTCTTTCTACCAATGTAAATATGGATCTCATGTTCTCCTCCACATGGTATTTTTAGAGGTTACTTATGGACGATGCTAAAATACTGCCTCTGTCTTTTACCTTTCTCACAGTACGGTCTGGCACATCCACCCACGATTATATTAATCCCATTGTAATGATCGTGTCACATCTGGAATGGAAATCCAGGAATTTTACTGTTATTTCACAATGCTTAAGAGAACCCCACTCATTCAGGGAGAACAAAGACAAGAGCTTCAACAAAGACTGTGGAAAACAGATACACTTTCTGGTAGTGAATCATGAAAAAAAAACTTATCATTTACTAGAATTTCTTTCTGGAGATTTCTGTACCTGAATTTATCCAACCCCCTCATTGTGTGCATGGAAGATGCTGCATTCATTGCTTTCCTTTATGTGAGGATAGTCAGCCTTGACAGAGTCCTCAGATAAGATCATTCTCAGACAGGAAAAAGCGGAATGTTTTTTTTGGTCTTCAGATTCGTTTTGATCTCTGAATGTACTTGTCCGTCAGAATTGTTCGTTTGTTTGTAGGCTTCAGGCAGAGATGGCGCCGGGTGCTCCGAGACCCCTCCGGTACATTTGGTAGTTGTCCGCACTTAGTGGAGTCCGTCCCGTGTGAGGACCCTGCCTGTTTCTGGTGGCACGAGGTCGAGAAAGGGCTCTGCGTTCCCAGTGAAGGAACTTGTGGTCCGGGGATACGGGCACAGAAACTATTGTGTCAGGACTCTCAAGGTAAGCAGTTAATTCTGTCAGTAACTTGATATATGGTAAATTACCACTGGAAAGCAGGAAGGTGTAGTAAAATTTCCAGCCTGCCTAAGCAAACGTATCACATTTCAATATTTCACAGATACGTTAATGAGCCCCTAGTGTGTTCCTATTATCCTGTTTCACATCCATTACTCACTGTGCCAATGGATAGTGTTTGAAAAGTGCTTTGTGTTTGCTATTTAAAAGCCAGTACAAGGGTTTCAATAAAATGTACTAATTGTTGGTCTGTATGTCTTATATACCTAATTACATCACTGTTTTGCATATTTTATTATACTGTCACAATAGATTTAATATATTTGTTGAAGAAACAGTTACATATCCAAATTAATTATCTTTAAGCTGTGCTTGATGTGGTATGACACATTTCAAAGAAATTCAAGTCAATACCTACTTTAAGTTTATGACATGAAAAAAAAACATCAATTACCTATTAACCAATGTGTTACAAAAAGCTTCTGGAATGACTTCAATTGTGTAAAGCAGGTGGTGTGTCAAGGAAGGTGCTTTTGAACACAAATGTAGAAAAAGATTTTCCTTTAATTAAGACTTGAGTAGTGATGCCTTTAAGATGTGTGCCAGACTCCAGCTAACTAAGGTCCCGGCGGAGTGATGGAACAGCCCCCTAGCTCTGCTTCCTGAACTGGTTAATTAGCCATAACAACCTAAAAGTTCTCTTAAGCTCCCTAAAGCCCCTACATGTTATAAACTTCACAAGGGCATCTTTCTTCCACCTGCACAGCATTGCTCAACTGAGAACGTTACTCTGCCTTTTGGCTACAGAATTGGCTTTTTTTCCTCAGGATTACTGTTATTTTTATGTACTGAAGGATCTTCTATGGTAGAAAATAAACTTCAGTATGTCCAGAATTCAGCAGCAATTGTACTAACTGAACACACCCTTCTTCAGGACATACTGTAACTTGCATCCTCTGTAAATGCATTGTTTCCCTGTGAAATTTAGGATGAATTTTAAGGTTATTGTACTCACTGAATGGAATGGCACCAGGTTATCTTAAGGTATTATTGTATGAGTGCAGCCTAAGACCTTATCTATCTTCTGCTGACTCAGGCCACCTTATTCTGCCAAAGTCCAGTTTCTACACAATGGATGATAAAGTATCACTATGTTTGTGATGCTCACTGCTTGAATCCATTATTTAATTTTGTCTTTTGGTTTTTACTTTTTTAGTCTGTTCTGTGAATTACATGCTGCTGTTTCTTGAGAAGTATTCAGAAATTAAATACTATATTGTATATAAATTAGTAATATTATATTGAGCATCAGACTTATGTCATATTCTGTCTCGCTTGTACATAAATTCTTGTTGTCAATATCAAAGATCTTCCTGACCTACGTATTTATAAAACTATTTAAACATATCTTTACAGTATAAGACATGTTCAAGTGACTGGCCGTATAGAAACAGAATCTGGGGCACACTGTACATAATAATATCTATACGTTCAGCACAGTATATAGTTATTTAGTAGAAGATAAAATTGTGTGGTTATTGATCATTTAAAGGCAACCACACTACCCTTATGCCATAATAGTTAGTATACTGTTACACTTTATATGAAATTCACACCTGCTCCAGTGTGAAATCTGTGCTGTCTGTAAGACTCATGGAAAACATTTAGACATAATTGAGCTCTGGAGAGCTGTGTTCAACTTCAGGAGATTCGCAAGCTGCTGCCGCTGTACCTGAGAATGAAGGGATCTGTAACTACATTCTCAACTTCAAGATTTGCTCAGGAATCTTGTTTTTCCAACACTACTGTAAAATGCTGTAAGAGATTCTTAAATACCCTAACAAGCTGAACAATATGCTGTAAGAAGTGTTTCCTACTGACAGGTCTAAAAAGGCTAAGCCCTCAAGTTTTGTAATATGGGAACTTTAACAAAAGAGTCTTATACACAATGTAACTAAAAACCTCACAGAGTATTTTGTATCTAAGTTGTTGAATTTGTCTTATACCTCACCCAAGCAAACATGGCTTAGCAAACTGTGATCTCTGGTTTGGGCTACAAAGTTATCTCTAAAGACGATCCTCATAATTTGTTTTAAAATACATTACTTATTTTTCTCAAACAGGCTGTTACTAAAAACACAGTACTGTAGCTCTTCTTAATACAGTATATCCTAATACAAAAGACGCCCATCCTTTCTTGGTTCTGTATGTGGGGCACAGATGCTCAGGTAGGAGTGGCACTGTAAAATGCTATTGTTTTATCATTCAGCCTGATGTGGGCACATTATGGAGTTGCGTTGCTACCATCAAGGAAAAAATATTTAATGTGGCATCTAATAATTATGAGAAAATTATCTCCTTATTTTGGGATAGTGCCTTACCTTGTAATTACGAGATAGCAATAATTATATGAGTATAAAAAACAGTTTATTACATTGTGCAACGACAGCACTTAGAAGCTACAGATAGCTCAGCTAAAACTTTGGTTTTAGTGTCTGTGACAGTGTACAACACAGCAGACTGTGACTTTACACTGGGGTTTAAAATGTTTAAATTTTCCAATTGTACCTTATGTGAACACAATCATAACCGTGAGGATACGTATCCTTAAAAAATGGGGGATGTATTGTGCAATCGATTCCATAATTCTACTACATCTACAGATCTATCAATATTTAGTTCTCATGGCTTCACTTTTTTAGATTAATGCAAAAAAAAAAACATTTCAGAATGTTTTGGAATAAAAATATATTCCACAAATAGTGATTAGTTAGATGTTTTCCATGCATTGCCTTAAATTAATTTTGTTGCAGTTCTTAAGATGTTATTTTTTAAACAAAGTATATTAAACATTTTTTAATAATGCAAATGTAATAGATGGACGCCCATATTTTCTTCATTTTATGTATGAGAAAAAAATGGTGGTTTTCTTAACTGAAATTAGTCAGAAATAAAATGAATCAGATTATAATGGTTTCTGAAGGCAGTGGAAGACTGATTCAACTAACATGCCTTTCTTAGCTCAGTTCAGTGGGACACAGCACATGCAGTGAATACACTGGTGGGGTATATACAGTATTTCAGTATCTGCTTCTGTTTGTCAAAAACTGTCGAGTGTTATTCTGTGGCCAGATGCGATGGCTCTGCACTCAATGTTATTGTTAAAATTGGACTTTCAGATTTTAGATCATATAATGAGATAATAGTTAACTGTCAAAATCACTCTGGCCAATAATTTTTATTTTAAAGAATCCACACAAAAGTGAACAGTACCTTGCAAAATTATTCAGACCCTTAACATGGTGTCCCATTTTGTGAAATTACAAAATGCTGCATATTCATTTTTTATACATAATGTTTTATTCAAAACCTGAATGTATACATGAAGACTTCCATGTAATACGTTAGAGCAAATGGCATAAAAAAATAGAGTTTCAGTTGAAACAGAGCTGAAAATACTCTACATCCTCATCTTTTTTCTGTTTAAAAGTTCAAAAGAGCTCAGCTTTTCAGCAGCACTGAATCTGTTTCTTAATTTATTACATTTTACTTGTTCATAAAATGTCTCTCAAGTATTCCTTAAAGTTTCTTTCATTCTCTGTTGTCTTGCTAAATTAGTTTGTGTGTTTGTAATGCTTGTGAAAGAATAGACAAGTTGCATCTCTAAGCATTGACCTTGTAGATTTGTGTTGGTGTGAGTTCCTTACTTTCAGTAGTGATCAGCCTTGATTACATGGTAGATCTGTCACACGCAGTATTTTCTAAACTCATCAGACCTTGTGCACTCCGCCAGATTGAAAACTGAATGTATTAACTTGCTCTGAATCCAAACTCTCCTGCTATATTTAAATTCCAATTTGCATAGATTGAATATAAATTCACTATCTTAAAATTGGAATGATTCCAGAGCAATGGGAATTAGTGAGGATTCCCTAAGGCTTCCATTACTTGTAATCTTTCATACCAAGGCAAGTGATGGTGTCCAACTTCAGCATTCTCCTGGAATGGAACTATCTGCCTTTTTAAACACTGTGGATGTACATAGTCTGGCAGTTGCCCCTTGCAGTATTTTATTTACACATAGATTTGACTATATATCCATTTCTTAAACTCCCTTAGCTTTCAAGGAAGGGAGAGTTCGTATCTGTATGTATCCTCTCTCTGCCATTTGTCTGGTTATTTTTACAAATCTGCTAGTGCAGGGAAGTGCAGTCCTAGTCCCAGTAGTCCGCAGGTGTTTTAGGACTTTTCAAAGCCCCAGCGTTAAGCCAGTAACGAGCCGGTTTAGGTCATTAAGAGCTGAGGTAGAATGAAGCCTTGCAGACTCACCAGCCATCCAGGACCAGGACTGCCCATCCCCGTACTAAGGATGAAGTCCCCGCTGGCTAGAAGCTAATTCAGTAATAGCTGGAGCCTGGGGAGTTATCAAACACAGAATCTTGCAGTAATTACAGCTAATGTCAAAACAGAGACCCCTGGCATTGATGGATAGGAGCCCGAACAAGCAACAGGCAGAAATGTGCTGGAAAATCAATTTTCACATGTGAAAAATGAATCAGTGTTGCCATTTTTTCTTATCATAGCTGTAGTTGTTGCTGATTAAACTCTTTATCACTTTCACGATGTTTTACAATTGGAAACAAGAAACTCCCAGCAAGGTTACCTTAAACATATAGCACAATAAACAACAATAAATAGCTTTGGTTTTTGATTCTTGTTATTCTCAGTGATTTTTTTTATTTGATCCCTGTGTTGTAGGCTTCAGCAGGCAATACAATTTATAATTTGATTTGTTACCTCGGTAGTTTGTGCAGCCAAGTTTCAGAAGTAAAGGGCTACTCAATTTGTGGTCCCTCCAGTCAGCTCCACTGCTGTAATGTGATGTAACCAGCTCTTTTATTGCTACAGTACATTGATCCTTCTAATTATTAATTAATGAAGAAATGGCTTGTAGCCAAATTATGTAATTGGATTGGTGGTGCCAC